TCGAGATTCACAAAGTGCTGCGCCTGCCACGAAATCTGCGCATCGAGATTCACGAAGTGCTGCGCCTGCCACGAAATCTGCGCATCGAGATTCACAAAGTGCTGCGCCTGCCACGCAATCTGCACATCGAGATTCACAAAGTACTGCGCCTGCCACGAAATCTGCGCATCGGAGATCCAAAATGAGCACATTGCACGAGGCTTTCGCAAATTTTGAAATGCGTTTCAGAAATGCTGCGCCTGCGACGAAATCATGCCTGCAGGTCATACGAAATGCTGCACTGGTCATATGAAATGCTGCACTGGCCACGCAAAAGCATCCTCAAGTTCAAATTCCAAAAATGCGACCCCTCTCACGAATTCAGCCGTTTCACCTCAAAATATCGCATCCATGGTGCGGATTCCCTGCGCCTGCCACGTGAAACGCAATCCTGCGAATGACACACGCCTGCCAACGTTTTTGCAACGTCCACAAAACACTGCGCCTGCCACGAAATTTGCAAAGTCTCCGATTCCTTGCACCTGCCACGTAAAATGACCTTTTCGAGGCTCCAATGCGTCGAATTCCTTGCGCCTGCCACGCAAAATGCACTTCGTGTCCGAAAACGAGCACGGCGCCTGCACGAGAGCTTTGTCCCGGAAGCGCGAAAGGCGCGGCCACCACTTTATGCGAGCCTGCGCAGTCGAAATGGACATGAGGAATTCAAAAAGTAACTTTTGCGCGAGCCGGCCCACGCAAAATGCCGAAACCACACGCGCGAACCCTGATCTAAACCCGCTTAACTCTTACCGTAAGAACCCCTTAGTGCGGAGCACTATTTGGGGAAAAACAAAAAAACAATGTTTGACACAAAATGCAGCCAACATCCAAAAACCAATAGTGACCCCATTTTGTCTCATTATTGGTGGAAGTTGATGTATCATTAGCTTTCTATAAAAAATGTGTTTACGATTAATTGTAGATTTTTTACAAACTAAGTTTCATTTATATCATTGTCAAAATCATTGGGGAAATTGATGTAATTCAACTTCGATTAAATGCCTTTTCAAGATCATTGTGGCAATTGATTTTGAATTAGATTTCAATTAAAATCCTATTATATTTCATTGTAGAAATTAGGCATTATTTCAATGTCCATTAATGTCCTTTTCAAAATCATTGTGGAAATTGCTTGTTGTTTAGATTTTAATTTAAGTTCTTTTCAACATAATTTGATTGAATTGCTTGTGTATTGGATATCAATCAAGACCCTTTTAGAATTGATTGTGAAAATTAACTTTCAGTTAACAGTTAATGGTGGAAATCAATTCTTATAATTAGATGTTAGTTAAAGTCCTTTTATTTGATGTAGCCTTGTAGTGGGGAGCAAACAGATACAAAATCAATTCAAGTTAGTTAAGCATCACAATTTCCACAATTGATCTTAAATCGACTTTAAACACAATCTGATACTAAATCAAAACCACCACTAAAGTTGAAAAGGACTTTGATTAAAATCTAATTGTAAGAACTAGTTTCCACAATGAGTTTTAAAGAGAACTTGGAAATGATTTGTATTGCAATCTAATATCTAATAAATAGCAAACTCCACAATCAATGTTAAAAGGATCTTGATTGAAATCTTCTAGTTTAAGTTTGCCTAATTCTATTTTAATTCCAGTTTAGTTAGTTTAAGAACGCACATGTTACAAAACCCTATATTTTACAGTGTTTTTTGCCCTAGGAGTGCTGGGAATAAGACACAAACTATGTTTTTGAGTAGATAGTATTTGTTTAAAGTAATCCCTTGGAATATTCATTGCTATATTAAAACTGCTTTATGTACAAACTTCTAATTCAAAAGGTTCCCTCTAGATCTGATCACTTCTGTGAAAAATTTTAAAGCTTTCATTTCAAAAGCTTTCCTCTGGATCTCTGGAAATAGTCATGGGATTTTAAAAAAGCTATAAGTATGTATGCAAGTGTTTCTTTCAAATGCTTTCCTTCAATGAAAATACACAAATCTAGGAAATCTACTTTCCCAGAGATCCAGAGGAAAGCTATTGAATCTAGATATGTATAGTATTATATCTTCATTCGCTCATGATGCTACATTCATTGTGGGCAGAGAGAGATTCACCTGATAATATTTCTCATTGGTGTTGCACATTGATAGTGGGCAGACGAAGAGCTGTTATTTGTTGTCATTGACATTGGACATGGAGACTGGACACAGACAGATCAAAAAAATTGCGTTTCGCCTAGTTCTCAGAGCAGTTTTTGAAATTTTGCACAGTATTTACAGTGTTTTCTCAGGGTTTTGAGCTAGTGTGTGCTCTCCCAAGCACACCCACACTCTAGTAGTAGTAGTAGTAGTAGCAGTAGTAGTAGTAGTAGTCGTAGTGGTAGTGGTAGTGGTAGTAGTAGTAGGTAGTAGTAGTAGTAGTAGTAGTAGTAGTAGTAGTAGTAGTAGTAGTAGT